TTTCTGATATTGCCATTAATTTTTTCTTTTATTTTTTCTCTCTTTTTCTAAGATCGTCGAATCTCTCGAATCGAAGAGACTCGAAGAGAAAGAAGAAATTCGTATTTAAATCTGCAGAATCCAAAATAATGTTTTTGAGAAACGTGTATGTAACGTAGAATCAGTTGGTATAGTATAAATTATATTATCAAAACCGAATATTTGCTGAAGATTTGGGACCATCCAATATCGATGTGTTTTATATTTTAATTATCTATGAATCAATTTGGTGTTTTTAAATTATCTATGAATCAACATTCCATGTTTATCGCTGACATTATTAAAGAGAAAGGTTAGAGCATCCACATTGGTAATAAAAAGAAGAAAGAGAGTGTTTTTTGTTGAAATAGCGTGGTGTATTGAAATATAAAATTAATAAAATTTGAGTAAAGAGAAGAGATAGTGGGTATTTTTTGAGAGATTGTGTCTTGGGGAAGACATAAGAGAGAGAGAATTGGGGTGTGTTTAAATATAAAATTAATAAAAGTTGAGTAAAAGGATGAAWGAGAAGGTATAAAGTTGAGTAAAAGGAAGAGAGTGTGTTTTTAATATTTTTATATTGTGAGACATTGGTAAAATGTCTCCAATGTGGATGGCCTTAGAGTTTTTTCCGGTGGAGTATATGGACTAAGAGTATGATTATAGGTAGTAAATATGATTGGGATAATATATGAATTTTATAATATTAATTGTATTGGGATTGATGAATCGAAAGAGAAAGATGAGAGAGATAAAGAGAACTGTTATATTTACCCATTAAATATGAGTAATATAGATTCTATATTTAGAAACCCAAAAATGGTTTGGATAAATATAAGAATTTTATAATATTAAAAATTTCTTATATTTATCATTATTTACCACCCATAATCATGTCCTACTAAGCTATGGCTTGGCTCAATTTCCACAAAACGTGAGTGTAATAAAAAAAAAGAGGTTAGTTGTGCCTGCCATGGTCTTTTTTTTTTAACGCTTTATTTATTGAAATTGATTTAGAAGAGATCACATCATGGAAGAAGTTCAACATATGCGATACAAAGAGAAACTAATGGTCCTTTCCGCACTAGAAATCAAGTGAGAACAATAATCGTTGACGACACATTAGCGATATCAAGATGATCTTGTTTCGAATCGAAGGTAGACGAGTAGGTGTTCCCGAATCCACAATAGTAGTCAGACTTCCAATATCTATTACGATAATATGATAACAATTCTCTTAATTTAGATAAATCTCTTTCCTTGATTGCCTTTGTCAATTTTGTTCCGAATTAGCTTCAGTGAAGCCGCCGTTGAACAATTTTGAATTGCAAAACTTAAATCAAATAGATAGCCGAAATCGACTAGATACTAGCAAACTATAAATCTTTTACGAGGAAAAAAACTTCAACCAAAAATTTCACCCATAAACACTAAACCCAATGAGAGAATCAAAACTAAACCCAATGAAGGGAATGACAAAGTAGATCTAAAAAATTGCATCGTCTTCCCATCAAAAACTCTCATGGACATCCCTTAGACTTCATGCCGAACATAAAAATTCTATTAGGTTACAACCATCTCCCTCTCACGAAGCCGGTAAAAGCACCGAACATCGAAGAGGGAGAAAACTCGATCAAACCACCTTTTTCTCTCCTTTTCTCTCTGGCGGCTAGGGTTTCTCTGCCTGCCATGGTTTGGATTAGTGTGTTAAATATCTTTTAAGTTTTTTTTTGATAAATAATATGTTTAAGTTAA